TATTTTAGTTCTCCTTTTATGGGGTTTAATGCTTTTTAATAATAATAATCATATAATGTTTTAATGCAATGTTTATTTTGTATATTATTTATTGGCTTGTTGTACGCTGCCCAAAGTCACTTTTTGTGAGATGAGTGGCTATATAAATTTGATAAATAAATAGTCTACATACATGCTCAAGCTTCCCCTTTGCATTGGGTCTCTGTGTTTTTATATACGTACATACATATACATGCAATGGAAAGTACAAAGTCAGCTGAATATGCTCCGCTCTAGATCATGTGACTAGGAGGGAAGATGGAAGGGGGTCAGAATGGAGTAGATGACAGCATTCGGAGCAGCTGCTCAACTGCTTTTTGCATTAGGATCCATTCATTATATGCCATCAAGTTGGTGTCAACTCTAAATGACCACCAATAAATAAATTATTTATTTATTTATTTTCTCCATTACTATCTGCCCCTAACCTCATCTTTCAGGCCTTCCAACAGTACAGCCATTGCCATTGTAAGTGAATCCATCCACCTTGCTGTTGGTCGTACTCTTCTTCTCTTTTCTTCCATCATTCCCAGCATTATAGACTTCTCCAGAGAGCTAGGTCTGAAGCTTGATAATTTGAGCCTGGTCATTTGTACCTCAAGTGAGAACTCTGGGTTGATTTGTTCTATGATCCATCATTTTGTTTTCTTAGCTGTCTTGTTGGTACTGTATTCTCAGGAGTCTTCTCCAACAATGAAATTCAAGAGCATCAATACTCTTCCCATCCTGCTTCTTCAAAGTCCAGTTTTTGCTTCCATAGTGTCATAAGGAATACCCCGGCTTGCACAATTCTGATTTTTAAGATTAATTGGGGAGATTTTCTGGAATGCATTTCTCTACAATCCTTGGCTAGATCCAACCTATTTTCTGTGCTTATCCTATCAGATCAAATTTGATCTGGTTCTGTTTTTGAGAATTACCTTTCTGTTACACAGGAGTGTCTATTCTGGTTACACTGATGGAATATGTTATTAAATATAAAATGATCAAACTATAAATTAATATTTAACCGGTGTTTGGTGTCTCCACATGTCAAAAGCATGGAAGAGTTTTGCACACCAAAGCTCTGCTAGCATTTGTGACCCTCTACTAGGTGTTCATCACATGGCCCCACAAAGAGTTCACTTATCTTAGCAGAGCAAAACTGCTCAGGCACTGAGTATCAAATATGAATCAAACCTATCTTCAAGTATGTCAATTTCCCACATTTTAAGGTACATAACTGTGGATGGCATATGCATCTTAAGTGACTTTTTCGTTACAAAAGGTATGCTTCAAAATTTTCTTAACGTTTGTCCTTAGCAATCTGTACGATTTACAGGAAATAGTGATTTCCCCACAATTATATAATGGGGGACTTAGTTTCAGACTCTGGACCACTCTAAGGGTAACTATGACAAACAGTTAACTTGTGGTGGCTACTTATAGACTACCATGTTGTGTGTGCGACTATGTCACTTGCATTGTAAACATGAAAATGATGTGAAATTCTGAACACCTCTGCTTCTCAGTAATGTTGAGTCTGGGTGTTCTCAAATGTCAGGTGGAACAGCCTAGAGTCCTGTTCAGTTCATATTTTTACAGGTAGTTCTCAATACTAGAGGGTGACCAGCCTTCCCTTCTATAAAGTCCTGCTGATCATTCCCAAGAACAGCACAATTATCTGTCACTGAACCCTCCAGTCACATCACAATGCAACATTACAGAGGAAAGGGACTGTTTATGTATGCACTTCAACATGCAAATGTATCGCCTGAACTGAGCTACAGTTTCTTAGAAATATAGCCAAATTTATTTTCGTGAAAAAGCACAATTAAGGCCTAGAGCCTCTTGCTACAAAAAGCCATCTCAACAGCTAGTAAGAACAAACCAGAGCTCCATTTTCCTTTAATGTTTCGGGAAGACCCTTTCTACAGATTTTAACTCTTCATTGCCCTGTTTTATTGAATGCCCTTTGTCACACATACTTAGTTTTAACTGCAGGACTCATCAGCAACCTTTCACTATGTAGCCTGCATACCTTGTGACTACATGTGAGTTTAGGGGAGCATATATTGAAAAACAGCCGATTCTATTCATTGACAGAGGTTCTTTCCTTAGCTCTCCCTAAGCTAAAGGAAAAGATAAACAGGAGAAGGCATTATGTTATCCAAACTCAGCAGTTAAGTTCTGGATATATAGAAACTAGAATCTAAAAACAAAGTAGGTGATAGGTTCGATTATTAGGGCTTCTGCAAATCTAAAACAAGAGCCATTTGGGTTCAGACAACACAATACACCTCAATCTGATTAATTAACCATGTTCTCCAAAATGTCCATTTCTGTAAGATGTTAGTCAGTGGTATACACCTTCTTATTAATCCATTACCTTGGGCTAGCATGTCATGCAAACACAACCAATAATTAACATAAAATTTGGATCAAGGCCTAGCAAACATCTTGACCGCTAAATCTGGACTGTCAGTTTCTTTGGGGACCAAATTTCCCTCACTGGCCCCACTTTGGACAATTGATCTTACTGACTGCATCATATCCTGCCCTCAGATCATAAAGGCAACTGGGCATAAAGGTCCATTTTTTAAAAAAATGCCTATGAACAATGAATTGCTTCCATAATCTTATGCACATTTGACTCTGGCCCTGACATGACATGGGGGGGGAAGATTGATCTAATTAGGTCAAATACTCTACTTTATAGACTGGAAGAAGATTGAGAAAGCAGTGCTTTGTTATTTATGGCATATACACATGTTTAATTTGTTCCATTGTCAACTTAGGTAAAGTAGGTTTTGCCGTTGAAGTTATGTATACACCTTGGGGGAAAAGTTCTGGAGGCAAACCTGGAATGATATCACAGCAGCAACTGTCTTTCTTTTGATGGTGGGAATTACTGTATATGCCTTCAATCCCAATTATAAATCCTACCACTAGCCACCACCCCACCCACAGATTTCCATTTCTATTTGAGTGCAGATGTTTCACCTGAAACAGTTAAACTGTATTTTGCATTTCCTGCTCATGTAACAATGTCAGAATAACATATACATATGTTCAAATGTTAGCATTTTTTCATTCCACTATCATATTCAATATCTTTTAGTGTGGGATAAACTACTTGCAAGATCTTCTCTAACAGTAAAAATGACAATCAGCAACCGATAATGTGCATCTTTAATAAATACTCTTTTCTGGAACAGAAAAGCGTTTATCACTCAGACCATCTGAATGAAACAGCCATATATTTAAGAATTACTATTCAAATTAAACATGGTTGTTTCTTATGTTCCACACTACATTAATTGTATTTACATCTCTTTAAAAAGTTAGAAGCTAAAAGACATTTTCCTTCCTTTCAGGGCAGAGAATGAACACCTGATTCAGACACTGAAATCAGTACATTTTTTTGTTCTCTTCTTCATAGTTGTTAAAAACAAGATTGCTGCTCACTCATCACTGGTAAAAAACTTTTGGTATTTTTTAAATAAACCTTTTGTATTAAAGGTGGCGTCAGATATAAACGAAATATGCATATTCCCTACTGGGACCCATTTCTACTTTCCACTGAAGTTTCAAAACTAAAGTAACGAAATCTACTTTAGATTATCTTGTCGACTTTACCATCATCTATTTAATAAAACCAAGACTGCCTGGGTTCAAAGGCTGCCTAAGCTATATGGTTCAGGTTTGGCTTAGTCTGCTGTGCGAACTCATCCTATGTCTACAGCTAGGACACCCTTTACAAACGTTTAAAGACTATTTCTCAGAATCCTAGCCGAGGAGAAACCTTGAATTTTCTAGGGAGTTGGTGGTTTTAGCAGTTAAATGCACAGACTTAGATGTGAAACTGAACGGAGATCTCCCACTTCTCTCCCCTCTCATAGTAAGGTATGGAAGCAGCAGTTCTCCATAAATTGTCTGGCCAGAGGCATATTTCTGCTGCTCCCCCGCCCCTCCTCATCCCACCCAAGGTCGGAATTAAGTCCCCAGTAAGACTTATTTCCAAATACGTGCGCCTACGATCTCAACACTGCAGCCTGAAAGTTCTCCGGGAACGAATGCAGAAAAGGCTGCAAAGAAACGGGAGACAAACTGTGTCCTAAGAGGCGAAAAACGAGTCACATTTTATGTTTACGTCTCCGCTCCCACCCAATTAAAAATAACAATGCCATCCATTCAATTTGCCTTCCATTCCACAGAACAACTTGTGGCTCCCTTCTTGCTGTGAGAGGTTTCTGTTGCAGGAACACACCCTGCGGTGGAGCGGGCTTGCCCTTGCGCGAGCGCAGCTCAGATTTGCACCCTCCGACTACCTGCATTGCTCGCATCCATCCTTTGCAGTCAACCGCATTAGACTCGGCAAGGCTGAAACGCTTGAAACGCTTCCTATTGAAACGTGCCCACCAGCAAAACCAACGAAGAGTTCTGTGGCGCCTTCAAGACTAACCTGTTTATTTTAAGATTTGTGCCACAAAGTTTCGGCAGACTGCAAATACTGTAAACGGGTTAAAACTTGAAGGTGCCATGAGCTCTTCTCCGGCTTTTCTGCCCAGGGCTGCTGCCTCAGACACCTCTCTGCAAGTACCCCATAGGCTGGGCCTATCCGCGGGTCAGGCCTGCAGAAGGCCCCTGGAGAGATTTGGGGGTGGAGCCTAGAGCGCCCGGGAGCGGGTCCGTGCTCTGGAATATGTACCTTGAAAAAAATAGCAAAAAGTTCAGCACGTTCCCCATTTCATCCGCGCCTTTGCAAAGTGACGAGGTGGGCTGCTACTTTGCACGGCTTTGCTGCCACCTGCCAGCCAGCAAGCTCGCTCCAGAGGCTGCAGCAACCGCTTGCAGGCCAAGGAGAGCTGCCTCCTCCAGGGTCCTCTCCCGTCCTTTCAGACTCAAAATTGAGCATTAAAACAGCCTTCCTTGCAAAGTCGAGCAAGTTCTCTCTCAAACTAACAGCTCCAAAAGACGCGATGCCCAACGAGTCTTCCTTCAGCAAGCCTTCGGCTTCTTCGGAGCATCACGCCCAGGGAGCTAAAATGGGCACTTTTGGGAAATCTGCCGGGCTAGTAGCCACCGGTGCTGGCAGCAACGCGGGGGTCTTAAACCAGGGCCCTGTTGGTGCCGCCACCACTGCAGGGAAAAAGTCCCCGCGTCTCCCTAAGTGCGCGCGCTGTAGGAACCACGGCTACTCCTCGCCCCTGAAAGGGCACAAGAGGTTCTGCATGTGGAGAGATTGCCAGTGCAAAAAATGCAGTTTGATCGCCGAGAGGCAACGGGTGATGGCCGCCCAGGTGAGCAGTGGGAAGGTTATGCAAGAAAGAAATGGCGGGGGCCTTGCTCTTGGGGGAGAAAAAATACAGGGCCGCCTTATTGTCGCTCGACGATGTTGGTTGGAAAGTAATACTAAGCCTCATTCCCTAAAATTGAATCCCAGAGAAATGGATAGGTTTGAACTTCTGTGTAAAACTCTCCGATACTTTTTTCTGCAAGAACACTTCGTCGCCAGCGTTGAGTATAAATTGGGGGGAAAAGCATGTCTCACACCGCCTAAGATACTGTTCTGGCTTTCAACAAAATATGCATAACCTTTTTATTGTTAAAATAATATCCACTATGTAATTTTTCGTTGTAATTTGTTATCACACTTTTCCTTTCTTACATGGAGCATTAGTTTCAGATAGCCTGATGGGGCTTCCTAATTTTCTGTGATTTGGAAACAATAATGCTTGTTATGTAGAGTTTGGTATCTAAAAGGAAAAACAAGAATTAGTTGCTATTGAAAGAAATCCTGAAATGGCTACTGCAATTGCATAGTTGCATTTAAAAGCATTTGGAAGTGTAAGACTGATTTTTATAGTGAGAATAATGCTTAATAAGTTAGTGGGGTAGGGAATGGCTTTTTCCAAGATGAAAACTTTGAATTCATAACTACATATATGAAAGACTCCTACCATTAGTTCAGTTTTTGTCAATAAAAACTTAATGATGTGAAATTCTAGTAGCCACATCAGCATTAACATGTTTGTCTTTGTCTTTCATTTACAATGTTTAAAATTCAGTGAGTGAAAATAATATTTTTGCAAAATAATGTGTTCAGATTTTGAGTTGCAAAATCATTGCATTAAAATAATTCTTTCTGTTATAAAACTGTAAATTAATGTATTTTTTATTTCTTTTTTTCATTCAGAATGTTTAACTTGAATTGATGGGAAATTGGTACTGAAGTTTTCAAATATCAACATTTTAAAGGTTACAAATAATTGTAAACTGTAAAAAAAAAAAACTTTACTGCTTTGGATATGTGTATGCCATTTCTGAATACCTTGGGAAGACTGCTGTCACAGTCTTTCTACAATTTTATCAATTCAGCCTTCCTCTATTTAGCAGTCTCCAGATGTGTTGGGAATTGTAGTCCAGTACATCTCAAGAGTGCCAGTTTGGCAAGTCAGAAGTAGGATGCCATTCTATTGCTTGATTATCAGTGCCCAATTCTTTAGTTTATCTAGGTGTTAATTTTTTTAAAATTTTGGGCACAGAAACCACATGCATTTACACCTTCCAGACTACATTTGCTTAGGGTAATTTGCTTAGATCTGTCCTTCAATGGATTGTTACACAAGTGCAGTTGTTAAATACTTGTTTTGCACTTACCTAGGATTATGTCCAGTTGAATGCTACGGGATTTACAAGATTGCAGCTATCTAGGTTAAAAGTTCCTATACTACAGTCTCAGTAATTATTATGCTGGTTTGTGTTGCTTTGCTTTATCAGTTAAAAAAAAAAGTTGTCTCCACAGTTCATTGCTTTAAGCAAATATGAACAAACTTTGTCTTTCAGAAAGACACTTTATTTTGTAGAGAGTTCTCATCTGCTTTATACCTAGGCTGTTTCTTTCAAAAACCCCAAAGGAAACAGCTGCATTTTCTACTGTTAATATAACATTGACCTACTGCTGGTCAAATGGAAACTCCTATAGTTGGAAAGGCTTGTTCCAACAATGGTTCAGCACCTATCCACCCTTCCTTGTGTCACCAGAAAATAATACTATCGTAATACTGGCTGTTTACATCACCAGCTCCTAGCTTGTCCCATAATGTCTGTTGTGACTATATCATGCTGTCCATATTTTCTGTTGCACCACTTGTTTTGGCCATAGTGATTGGTTCCCACTGGACATTTTTTCCCTCCTCCATGTCACAATAGTATGAGGCTAGGAAAAAGTTTAGTTATCTGTGCATATATCCTGATACTATTACACAATTGTGCAATTACAACTTTCTCTACAAATACAATAGAAAAGCAACCAGAGGTCCAAGGATTCACCCCCAACAAGATTGGGAAGAAGATCTTCTAAATAGGAATTGCTTCTAAAGAAAGGGAGTATAGAGTGAAGGTAAAGATGTAATAAAAACTCTCGATTTCTTTGGAGGTCTTGTTCACTTGTGACTACATAATAGGGAAAAAAGCTATGGGATCTCCTTAAGGATATTTGCAAGTCATAAATAAGTAAATAAAATGTGCATTACCATTAGGGAATGATTTTAGTTGTGTGCTTGAGTACCATTAAGTAGTGGTAATTTCCAGTTCTTCAAAGAATTATTTTAAAATTTTGGTTTTGATTTGTTTGGTAGTCTTTACATTATGTTTCCAATACCTTAAGAGAGTCACTGTCAGCTTGATAGTGCCAGATAAGAAGTGGCACCCACAGAGGCAGACCGGTGACTGGAGAGGAGAAGGTATGCCAGGACACAAACCTTGAACTCCCAAACTCACTGCAACTGAGCATCCGACCTCAGCACCATGAAAAATGGGTGCTAGTAATTGCAGGTTTAATTTGCCCTCACACTACAATGGAACAGTGGGTAAAACTAATTTTATTCTGATACATTGAAATGATGGCATTAAACCGTTTAAATCATGGACTGAGGCCACCATATGATCAGGGAGAAAAATTGGGTCGTAGAGACATGCTGCTGTAAACTGCAAATGGGGCACGGGCTTAGAAGGTTCAGTTTGCATCAGTAAGGAAAGTGGTGATTGCTAAATATATTCTATTTCCATTAGCAATCATTTGTAAAAAAAAAATGTGAATAGGGGTTTGTAATGTATGGCTGAATTAAAATCCCTTATTTTAGCTTTTGCTGTTTGAGTGGCATGTTCATTTCAATATGCAGACAGATACTACAATCTGCCTACAGAGGACAGGACAGGAAGACCTGGTCCTTCTTTAGCAGCCCATTGAATTTATGCAAGGAAAGTTGGCTTGTTTTTTTATGCTAGCTGCCCAGAGGAGAGGTAGAATATCAGTACCTTACCAAGTTCCTAGTCATCTCTTGCAAAAGAATGAGTATAAGCCTAGATTGGGTTTCAGAATTTGTCCATTTAAAATCCACACCTTGGAAAGCAGGACTAAAGTACTAATACAGTCAAGAAATAGTAAGAAGTAAAGCAACAAAGCTTTTGTTATTCAGACAATTTACAGTTCAGATTTAGTCTCATACTTAAGTACGAGAGTTGTGCTTAAATGTTATAGAGTTGCAGAAAACTTTAGACTGTAAAGAAATGTAAGAAAGAAAGTCTTAGTGTCTAGTGTGGCCTTCCCAAAGTGATGCTGTCTAAATGTTTTGGACAACAGCTTTCATCAGGCATTGCTAATATGGGCATTTTGGGGAATTTTAATCTTACATGCTTGAAGGTAACAGATTGGGAGAAGCTATGAAATGAACTGATCCTGCATGTAAGTCATGCAATTTGCTTCCAGGCTAAATAGAGTCAGATCTGGTTAGTACTTGGATGAGAGATCAGCAGAAATTGGAGGGCTATAGGCTAAAAGTGGAAGATGAAAAAAAAAACTAATAAGACAGCAGCAGATCACTTCTGTATGTTGCTACAAAACTGCATGGGCAAACAGTTACCAGAGTTAAGCTTGGCTCAAAGGAATCTTTACCATTTGAAGAAAGGGTTGTGTTTCAGCCTGGGCATATTTACAAATCCTACTGACTTCTTTAGTTAGTATCGTTAGGATTATAGTCTTGAGTCATAAATATGATTTCAGTCTGGAGTACAACTACGCATGTCTGTCTGAAAAATCTCAGTGTGCTATCTTCATTTACTTCTGCCTGTTGCTGAGAATATGCTATATATTAGGGTTATCTGTGTTTTGAAAATTATTCAGAAAAAGTGCTTTGAACTTCATGCAAGCAGAGCATCTCTGCTGTTCATTAAAGCAGCCTTTTTCAGGCTTCTGTGTAGATCTGAAAAAGGTGCAACTGCTTTAAGGAATATATTCATTAAAGTTAATGCAAGTGTTAAAGGAACTGCACTTTTTCTTCAAGTTGTATGGAAGGGTGAGAAACTGTGTGGCTGCTTTAATAAATAACAGAGAGGTGCTATGCTTGTGTTTGTGTGAGGTCTGGAGTACTTTTAAACCATTTTTGAACCATACACAGATGTATTTTATACCTCTTGACTGAAATGGAGAATTACGGCATCAGCCCTGAGGACTTGCATTCTACTTTTGATGGACAAGAGTTTCCATGGATTACTGAAGAGAATTGTGCAATAAAAGTGTGGAAGCCAGCAGCTTGTATCCACTGTCCCGATCTTAGCTATGATGCAAACAGCAGCATTGGGTGTGAAAACTGGAATTGTAGTAGGGCTACCAGTTCTGGGCTGCAAAAATCTGAATGACAACTAGATGACATCAAAGAGAAGCACATATTTTTGCAGCCCAGAACTGGTAGACCTAGTTGCCATGGAATATTTCTGTTTCAGAAGAGTTGTTTAATTTCAGTACCATTACCTATAATTTTGTTGGTTGCATCATAATTACAACTGCTTAGGTGTATGATAGTGTGAGGATCAAGTCTTTCTTGCAGACTCTAAGGCTTTGAACTTCAGGACCCATCATCCCAAATCACAACACTCTGTTGGGATTTTAGGAATTATAGTGCATCACATCTGGAGGGTCTGGCTGGGGAAAATTGCTTTCTTAGATCAAAAACTTGTTTGTACAGTCAATCCAAACTTAATCTGTTTCAGAGATGCAAAGGTCCTACCTTCCCATTGGATTCATATCATTTGGCTTTATTATTAATGTTTTCCTTCCTTGTGCATTAAATGCTAAAATGCGTGTTGGTTTAATGATATTTGTATGTCTGTCTTTGCTTCCTTTAGCCATGGTGTTACATCATCCTCTGTTTCTGCATTCTGCTTCTTTGTTATCAGTTAACCTACTTTCTCATTTCATACCAATCTGAAAATCAGCCATGTTTTTCCTTCTCATTAATTCTCAAAATTTGGTGCGTTTAAAACATGTCAAGTGTGAAATGGGCAATTCCAGTCATTCTGAAAGTGTTTTGTGCTTCAAAGAATTCTGTTTCAACTAAGAATGCTTTCAAAATAATTAAAATAGTCTGTTTTGTATTTGAGACAGGGATCTTTTGAGTTCAAAACAGTTCAAATTTGAAACATTTCTCACATTCCTGCTCAATATTATGTAACTATTAAAGCATCTGTGCTAGGAAAAAATGCCATCTTTTAATGGCAACTCTAAATGAGAGACATACTGTATATATTTTATATATGTGTAATTAAGTGGCCCAGAATGTATATTCTACTCCAGCCTTGCTTCACTTTGCTTACATTGCAGCAGCATAAGATAATTTATAAAATAATGTTCAGAAAAAATCTGTCTGGAATGACTTCAGTAAGATTTCTGTAAAATGAGTGCTCTGAACTTGAAATGCAATTTTAATTCTCTTCCATAGCAGAATAGAGCTTTGAAAACCTCACATTTATTGCAGAAATACTGTATCAAGTACCATGTGTTCTTTTGGCTCACATCCTGGGATGCCAGAGGACTCATATGGCATGAATATGAGACAAAGGTGAAAAATGATGTTGTTTATGACGGATAGATGCTGTTAATCCTATTCACTCCACTAGACTAAATCCTTTGTTTTAAAAAAAATGAGCAAAAAGAATCTTCAAAGAATCCCCATGGCAGTAGTAACTGTTTATTTAAGTACCGTTGAAACTGATCCTTGAAATTCCAAGGATCTCAATTTGTCTATATTTCAGAGTGTTTTCAAATTCGCTAAAGCAGAGAGTTAAAAAAAAAAAAAAACAGTGTCCAAGACTTAACTAAGTTTAGATAGTTGCCAAATTAGAAGGCTTGTTGGCAGGACCTTTTAGTCTTCTTTATCACATAGCTTTAAAATTACATCTTAATTCTGTGTTCGTGAATCTTCATGTGTGTTAAGATAAAGAAAACTGAAGTTTTCCACCCAATTTTAGTGCTGTTGTTTCTCAGATAACTGTGCAACTTTCTCTCTTCCAGGTTGCGTTGAGAAGGCAACAAGCCCAAGAGGAAGAGCTGGGGATCAGCCACCCTATCCCTTTGCCTAGTGCCACAGAAATGTACGTTAAGAAAGAGAACAATGCCAACAGTTCCTGCCTGTTGTTGGAAAGCACTAGCCCACCACAGTCCACAACCACAGCAACTGTAGTGTCTACCTCATCCACAGGTAATGGACCTGCCTTCGCAGTCTTTGCATCTGGAAAGAATTGGATTGTCATGGGTTTCTTGGACTCTAGCAGATCTAATTTGATTTCAGTAAACATGGGCAATGTGTATAAAAGTGTGTACAATAATCTTGCTTTATTTACATCTTTACAATGTGCATTCTTTTTAAGACACAATTTTAGTTAAGGTTGAAGAGCCTTCCTTAATCAGCTTGGATTATTTGTCCATGTAGCTCAGTATTATTTCTTCAGGCTCTGCTCACTTTGACTATGATTCAGAAGGGTGCTTTAGACTAGGGGTTTCAAACTTTTCAGCCAGAAAACCTGTTAGTTTAAAAAAAAAAAATCCCAGGACTCCTGATCAAGAGGCAAAGCACTAGTGATAAAAACTGGCTGCATTTGCATGATTTTGTTTTGTTTTGTTTTGTTTTGTTTACCCTTAGTCTCTCACAGAACCCCATCAAGTTCTTACTGTTTGAAAAACCCTGTTTTAGACTTTATGCAAGTGTAGCACATCTCTGGTATTCATTACAGCAACTGTCTTCTGGTTTCTGCATGAGCCTGAAGAAAGTTGTGGCTGCATTAAGAGTCACTTTAATGAGTTGACTCCTTAAGCCTCCTGTTTTTGTTGAAACCCAGAGCCTAAACCAATGTGAGCCATGGAGAGGGATGCTGCAAATTGTAGTATAGCGATCGCGGGCAAGTCTCAGATCTCAACTGGCTTTAGAATAAAACGTCAGGCAATTTTAATTGTAGTGTTTGTTTAGTTACTTTGAAAGATTGCACTCCCTGTCAGTCTATGGATTATGCAGAACTTCAATTCCTGCTTTCTAACTTATATTGCCAGTTAAGGGCCTGTTAACAACAGAGTGCTGTATATGATTTCTTAGTGATAAGTTCCTCTGAGTTTGAGCAGAATTGGATATCCGCAAAAAATGTTCAGGAATGGCTCTGATATGTCACAGAAGTTGAAGGCGGTTTCATAATTTGTGTTTTACTCTTTTCCTTACTTGAGACAGTTTGAACAGCCACCATTATTGTACACAGGTCCATGACACCAGATTTTTCATTTGACAACTCCAGAAAGCAGTGGGTTCATTTCTTTCTTGTGTAGGTTTTCTCTCCCCCCCACCCTTTAGAGGTATAGCAGTTTTTCTTTCAAACTTCATCACACTGTACATGGTTTACCAAGAGAGGAATAGGGTGTGAAGGAGCCACACAAATCATACAAGGTACCAGAAAAGTCTTTTTTTTTTGCTGTATCCAATTTATTGGCAGGTCAGAAATATTATGGCACATTGAGAGGCCAGAGTCAATTTTTCAAGCCTCTGGTGACATGCCATGCTTCCAGAGGGGGAAAAATCAGGGAAGGAAGAAGAGGAGGAAAAAAGGGGGGGGCTTACCATTATTTTCATTCCTCAGTCTTGTCATTGTGATTCAGTGTGTTTATTTTTAAAGCTGGTTATACAAATGAAGACACAGGAATGGAAAAGAAGCATGAAAATGGAAGTTTTGGGCCTGGAAATTCCGCACTTCTTGCTGAAAAGAATGTAGTCTTAAGATTGCAGCCTAAATACATCGCCATCAGTCATGATAAAGTAGGGGAAACTGGATGAGTTACATGAGAAAACCAAATAATGAAGGTGTTTTGATAGCTAAACATTTAGAAACAAGGTGTTTGTGTGGGGACAGGGAAAGGGGGATTCGTATTTTCATTGTGCCTGTGTTTCTTAATGATCTTTCTCATTAAGAAACAGAGAAAATAATCCTTCTCATTCTCCTGGGCTTAGGCTATTCAGAATCATATCTTAAAGTTAATTTAAGTGTGACAGTGGCTGCTGTGTTTGTTTGTGTATGTGTGTGTAATATGACTCAGTCATGTGGCGTAGGGAGTCTTAAAGCACATACACTATGATCCCTCTGCAAGAGATCAGTTCTTACCTCTTGAGGAACTCAGTTTGTCTCCTGGCTGCCAAAAAGAAAGAAAAAGATGGTTTGATAGAAGAATACAGCAAACTACTGTTGAGGGAAAATAAAACAAATTCCCACCCCTAATTTAAAAGTGGGAATGGGAAGGATTATATTCTCTGGCTTCTTAAGAGCAAGAAGAACATGAGTGAGGACTGTTGAACTATCCTTCCCCTTGCTGTCTTCTCTTCTAGCACTTGTACCTCGAGTGAGCAGATTATGGCATCAGAATTTGCTGAGGCATCTGTAGGTGAAGGGGGGGCGTTATATGATTGTTTTGCTCTTAGATATAGTGGCACTTATTCTTGGTTTTAGCTCAAAAAAATGGACCATCTGTGCTACCCAGTCCACTTACTTTGGAACTCCTCCACCATCATTGTTAAAAATTGGTGTACTGTTTTAGCTAGGATCAAAGAGCCTTCCTTAAAAAAGGCTTAAGATAGGTTTTTTAAAAAATCTCCAAAATTCCATGGTGTAAATAAGAAAATCCAGGCCTTCTTCATATGTGTGGTGTATGGCCCTCCATAGGCAAATGCCAGAGAGGGCCATATATTGGTGGAATCTGGCCAGCAAAAGGTTGTCTGCTCCTTTGTTCTGTTCTAGAAAATTGGAACATAGCTGTGTTTAATACCTGTTTTCAGTCACACCTGATTAACCCTTAGCCATGCCCCAAACCAAGGCAAGTTTTTTTTAAAAAAGAAAAGAATAACATTTCACATAAGGTTCTTTCAAAGATGAATTAGGTAAAAGAAAATGCCTGCATAGTCCTTTAGGAAGGCAGCGGCATACAGGTATGACTACTTTAATTATTAGACTATTAGTGGGTGATCACAGAATATAATTTTTAAGATGTTTGTAGAATTCTAGCCCAAGATGAGCATAGGATTTAAAGCTGTGCTTCCATAATCCCTTTTTAAGAGGTTGAACTATCAAGTGAGACCAAAAGTTGATACTTAACTTTTATTAGCTTGAGGAGAAAAAAGCAGTTATATTAATTGCTAGTTTTTCTCTTGGATACATTAATCACATTTGATGGGAACAGTCTGCTATTATATGCTGTATACAGTTCTACATGAGCAGTATTATAGATATGGTCTGAAATGTGAAGCATTTACATGGAAAGTCAGCTTTTTAGACTTGGCACCTTCCAAGTGTTTGGATGGTTTGAGTAAGAATTCTGAGAGTTTTATTTTAATGTATCTGAAAAGTATTGATGTTAAGACACAAAATGCCACATTTCTTCCTTGCTCATTTGCTATCTACAGCTTATGGTTTCAGTCATACAGAGTAATATGAGATAAAAACTGTTGGAGTGAAAATGGTCAGTAGGTAAGTAGGTGATGGAAATTAGCATATATGTGTAGAACTTGTGTGTAAAAGACGAGGATTGATATTTAATTCCAAAATCAATGATACTGGAAATATCATCAGTGATCATTTATTTAATTGATGGAAATCTATAGTTTATGGTTAAGTAAATTACAAGGATTATTTGAAACCATACAGTTCCACAAATGGAAAAGTTAACAGGGAAAAAATTAGGACTGGAACATTTTCTGTGTTGTCTTGCCTCACTGATACAAACTTAGGGATTGCTGGAATTGTTTTAATCCCTAATTAATCCATATATTCTTCTATATCCATGAAGAGCTTCCTAGATCTTCATACTAACAGGATTGGGTGTTAAAAGGACATATTGTAATCTTCATGGTGCTTCTTCAGATAGGTACCCAGGGAAGGGCTGATTGGAATAGAGAGGAGAGTAAGCAGACCTGTGCTGAATTTATAAATACCCTACTTAAATATTCAAATTAATGATTTGTAATCCATTGAATGTGGGGGCTGCATGATTTGGAACGTTCAGTTGGTATGCTGTGCAGCTACCCAGTTTTGCAGGGATGGTAAAGTATTGAGGTATTTCATGATTGCTAGTTGATTACTGATAGATATCTGAATTCAGTTACAAGTAGATGATTTCAATTCTGTTAAAGCTTTAAATAGCTTGAGAGAGACAAAGGTTAATAACTTAATTATTTCTTACATTGACATTTCTCTGACAAATAAAAATCTAGCATATTTATTTGTCTATTTCTGTTGGCCATATTTGTTGCTAGAAATGCAGCATGTGTGCTGAATTTAGCCATGCCATTCCATTCTTACTTAAGAGTCAGTGCACTGGAACACTCATTCTCATGTCCTTAGAAGTGATGACCAAAGTGAATGCTAGGCATCTATCAGCCTTCTCTAACCCTAACACTCTCCCTATAGGTTGGCAACTGGAGCTCTAAGAAATGTAGTCAACAACACATCTGGTGGGGATGAAGAGAGCTGGCCTAAATTTTAAAGCTGTTGGGAAGTTTCCCCAGGGTACAATTTGTAATAAGAAAATGAGCTATGAATGCCAGTACCACATGGGGTCTTTGCTCTTCTCCAGGATAGATCTAGGACTGTGTGATCTCATGCTGTCATCTCTGTTCAGCAGTTGAACCTGTTTTTTTCCAGCACTGCTGCACAGCATCTGGGGTTATAGTGATGGCAGTTGCTTTGTTGAAGTTTTGGAGAAGGGGTGAGCCTTCCATTTGGCAATAACTGTTGCTTTATCTAGCCTCCCAGCTCCTGGGCACTCTTCAGCCTCTTCTGTTTTCCTGTGGAGGTTCAATTGCTGACATAATGATACCAGAACACTACCATCTATCTTGGGGACTTTAAATGCAAGAGAAGGACTGTGCTTTGGCAGCTGCCCTCATAGCAGAAGTTGGTTTTACAAGTCATGGTACAAAGGTATATAGCTTGAACTAAAAATATGGAGTGGGTGAAGCTTTGATGGAATAACATTCTTTGCATTCTGCTTGTCATCTGAGGGCAACTGGTTGCTTTCAGGTAGGTGGCAGTGAAGCTGAATGTAGTGAGCTTTGAATTACTCTTGTGAGATTGAGAGGGGTGAAAATGGTGATGATGTGGAGGTGCTGAAATCAGGAAGCAAGCCTTACTTAGCCTCTTTCCTCCTTTGTTGGAACCCTGTTTTAGATTGTGG